CTATTAAAACCAGCAATTAAAAAAAAAATCTAAGGCTTAATGGAAAACACTGCAGGAAATTTAGCCTCCTGTTTTGCAGTTTCCTCATAGACCTGTAGTGATGAATTGGGTTCCATTTATGGAGGAGAGGTAGTATCCAAATCAAAATCTTGATCTTTTATGAACATTTTGAGGTGTTAGCATTAAGTCCGTTCTTGTGGGATGTGTATATGTGGGCCTTCAACTATCCAGGCCTGTGAACTCTTAAGAAATCCACCTTGAGCCATTTGTCTTGACAAGGCATTTGGCCCCTCAGGGCCCTCCGCACTAAGGAAATCGATGCATTGTTTTTGTTCTTATCTTTTGGCTAATCATCACTAAGGACTAACTTTTCAACATCAAGAAACAGAAACTTTCCAGTAGAGTAAACGGGACATGCCCACACCTCTCTGAGCTGCAGTTAAAATGCCACAGCCTAGATTTCAAGTCCCTTCTTCCACTGTTTTTTTGAGTGGAACTGCTTGCTTTATTGTCTCAGGTGGTACCTTTCAAGGTAGTGATTTGACATTTTCCCAAATGGTATCTGTTCTTTGCTCAGGAATGAACATGATATAGTAGTCTACCTTCCCCTGGGCTTTTGAAAGAAGTGGGTGAAAAGATGAGTATTCCTGCTCTAAGTGACAAAGTGAAGTGACCCCTGTGCTCTTCTACTGCCTGTGTTGGACTGTTTCTTACAAATTCTAACTCAGAGATTCCTAATGATAAGTTGCCTATTGGTCAGGATTTCCTGTCTTTACTTTTTAAATCTGGAGTTATCTTACTGTTTAATCGAGAACTTCCTATGTGTTTTATTGAGTTCAGGTTTTGAGTATTAAGCAATTTAATTCTCTTCTCCCTGCCCCTTATAGGATGGATTTTGTCTCTTCTACCAGCCTGCACTGCAGCCATCTTGGGAAAGACAGCTGGTCTGGGTTTTTCTGTCGTGCTGTACAGCAGTAGTCTTAATCTACTTCTGGAAAAAATTTATCGTGAGTTCTAAAATTTCTTAACTCAATTCTACCTGCCTAACTGTGACCAGCCAAGCGAATCTGAGATGTGAAAGAACAGAACCAGAGTATATCAGCTTCAGAGACGTTTTTACCTGCGTTCATATAAGGAGTCCTACCGTGATTCAGCCAGCATTTTAACTCCTGACAAGTACTCAGAGGTATTAGGACAAAGGCACAAATGGCTCTTCTTTAAAGGGGGGACGCAGGGATCTAAAGGCTTATTTCTCCAAAGAAAAACAGAAGAAACTGCTTTCCATTAAATAGGAAATAAGGTGCTATTTGCTACATTTGGATAAGAGTGGCTGTGGGTCTCTCATCTATCCACGATTTCACGTGCTGCTCCTGACTAATTGATCAAGGCGGCGGGTCAGGGGCGTAAAATGCTACCAAAAGTCCTCCAAGTCACAGTTTAACAAAGAATGTAATATTAAATCTTTTTATGAGGAATTCTTTCTTAGTCCTTTGAAATCTAATTTCTGGGACTTGTATGTTTCTAGAGTTAATATATTAAAATTTTATTTTTCTGACTTTAATAAATTATTAAATATCTTTAAAGTTTTAATGTATGCATCTTTAAAAAAAAAGTAGTTGGTTTTCCTTGGGACTTAATAAGCCTTTATTCTTAGGAGTAACTTGATTGATGTTAATTTCCTTTTTATTGCCTCTTTAAATACAACACATACAATTCTTTATTTTAAACATTTAATCAATACGCAAGCACATAAAAAGTCCTTCTTTCTCCCCTTTCATTCTACAGTCAACCCATCATTTGCAAGTTGATGGAGAGGGAAAACTTTACCCTCTAAATTCGCAGGCCTCAGGTACAGAATTTAAGAGACAAAAGACAGATTAACAGGAGAAAAACATAAAAATCTTACTTGATGGTAATGTTTTCTCAGGGGACTTCATAGAAAACAAGTGAAAACCCCAAAGAAGCAGTTAGATTTGGGGGTTGTATACCATTTTAACAAAGGGCTATATTGTGGATAAATGACTAGACAAAGGAAAGGGATTTGGGCTCCTCAAGGCGTTACATTGTGGGACAGTGACTAGGAATTACATGGAGCTAATGGAAGATGAGGATTATTTTAGTAAAATGTATGCCAATTCATCTTGGTGTTAACTCCCATCGCCAGTGATAAGACTGTTCTCCCCTTCCTGGTACAAGCAGGTGCCTCTCACGGGAAATTTATGCCTTCCCTGCTTTTAGGCAGAAGGGAGGAGGCCAGAGAGCCCTTCCTCAAATGCTGTTTCTCAGTTGCCTTCAGCTTGAAATAATACGGCAAAGCAGCATATGTGGGGTAACACGTTCTGATCCCCCTCAGTGGCTAACAGTGAGCACCATTATTCTGTTGCCCACTGGAATCTGTCCTCATGTCCTTTTGGAGCCCACACAGACCAGGCCGAGCTTGCCAGCAGCCATGGGACAAACACCTATAAGGACAACAGGCCAGCCCAGGTCTGCTTCAGCAACATCTTTGTGGCCAAAGCTGTTGCTGAAGCTATTAGAACAAGCCTTGGACCAAAAGGAATGCATAAGATGATTCAAGATGGAAGAGATGATGTGACCATTACAAATGGTGCTCCCATTCCCAAATAAATGCAAGTGTTACCTCCAACAGCCAGAATGCTGGTGGAGCTGAGGCTCAAGACAGAAGCAGGAAGTGGCACCACATCAGTGACCATCATTGCTGGCTCTCTCTTAGATTCCTGTACTAAGTGTTTGTCAGAAAGGGATTCATAATTTCCAGGTCACTCTAGACGGCTTTGGAAAATGGTATTGAAATCTTGACATGTCTTGACCTGGGGAGCTGAGTGACAGAGAAACTTTGTTAAACAGTGCAGCCGGTTCACTGGACTCAGGAGTTGTCTGCCAGTATTCAAGTCTGCTTTCTCTTACATGAGTGTACACGGAGCGAGGAAAGAGACCCAGCCACGGCTGCAGGCGTAGATCTTAGAGATGTCAAGAGAGTGAAGAAACTTGCTAATGCCCTCAAGAGTATAATGCTAGGTGAAATCAGTGAGACAGAAAGACACATACTGTGTGATCTCTGTTACAGGTGGAATCTTAAAAAAAAAAGAACCAAGGTCTTAAAACAAATTTGTGGTTGCCAGAGGTGGGGAGTGGTGGGTGGGAGAAATGGGTACATTTTTTTTTTTGAAGAGGGAACTTGGGGCAATTGATGATTGTGAGTTGTTGGAAGAGCTGATTCTCACCCAAAAAGTGGCAAATTCTGACATGGCCAGAGTTGAAAAGCCTAAGATAGGGCTGACTCAGTTTTACTTATCTGGTTCCAAAACAAATCAGGATAATCAGTGGTTTCTGATAAGCCCAGATGGACTGAGCCCTGAGAGGACAGCCTATATTCTAAATTTAGTGAAGCAAATTTAACGAATGGATATAATGTCCTTCTCATACAAAAGTCTCTTCTGAAGAGATGCCCTTAGTGATCTTGTGTTATGTTTCCTGAATGAAAGATTGTCGTGGTTAAGGATATTGAAAGAGAAGATATTGGAACCATATCAGTTGTGCATATTGACCAGTTCCCTCCTGAGATGCTGGATCTGGCTGAGTGAGCTGAGGGGCCCGATTTACATGGTGCTGGCAAACTGCTCAAGATTCTAGGCTGTGTAAGCCCAGGAAAAACAGTTATAATTGTTGTTCCTGCTTCTAACAGGTTGGTGATGGAAGAAGCTGAGTGCTTCGTTCGTGATGCCGTATGTTATTCATTGTTTAGTGAAGCAGAGAGCTCTTCCTGCAGGAGGTAGCACCCCCAACATAGAGTGGGCCCTCTGGTTAACTGGATATTCACCCACATTGAGAGGTATGAAATCCTGCTGCCATTGTGCCTTTGCCGGTGTGATGAAGGTCATTCCATCTACGCTAGCTGCAGCTGCTGGCCTGAATCCCATGTCTATAGTAACAGAACTAAGAAACCAGCAGGCCCAAGGAGCAGAACTGGAGGCGTTAGTGTCCAAAAGGTGGTATTTCCCACGTTTTGGAGGAGCTGGTTGTTCAGCCTTTGTTGGTTTTAGTCAGTGCACTGACTCTAGTAACTGAAACTGTCTGGAGCGTTCTGGAAATTGATGATGTGGTAAATGCCTGGTAATCTGGATAACACTGGCTGGCTGGCACCGACATGGCCACTGACAGTGTGCCTGGAGTGGAAAACAGCCTTGGTGTCCCTTGTTGTTTGTTAAGAGTGTTTCCTCTTTAAATGCCTAGGCTTGGTCTTCCACTTGGCATCTGCTAGGAATTATATTTACACAATGAAAATATTAAATGTTTGGTTTCAAAATTAAAAATGCAGCG